TACCAATCAGACGAACTAGACAAGCCCAGTCAGCACATCCTTTCGTCGTCAACCTCGAAAGATGTCGAACAGCACTTTATCAAGACTCCTTCATCCATAGAACGGCTAGGCTCTGGAATTCATTGCCTGTGGAAGTATTCCCAACAACATATAATCTCCAAAAATTCAAAAAAAATTCCAATACCTACCTCCTGTCCCTATCCTCCCTAGGAACGCACGATGTTCTTTGAACATTATAGGGATTCCCTTTCGTGCGCTCCAATCGATAAAAAAAAAATATATATTATGATGTATCTTGAACAAATCATGACTATCATGAGACATAACCTCAATTCTAGTTCTTCTTTTTCTTCCTTTTGTCTTCGATGACACGTTATTTGATGGAATGTCATCTGAAGACGTCCGTAGGCACGAAATTCTTTACATCCTCAGGCTGTCACTGAAAGAACTCATTTAGGACAATTACAGCGCTAAATTTACGCCTGATGATGTTCTTAGGTTGTAGAGAATAGAACGTCCTCTCCAGGCGTTTGGCGACACATTGAGGATGACCTTAGGCGAGTGTGTGCTATCTGGGATTGCTCCCATAACTAGATGTTGCGGCAAAATGACTAGCGTTGGTACGGGGCCATCAAGAAAAGGACACTCTGGCCGACGGTTTCCCGACGGTCAATCTGCCGGCATTCATTTCATTGATGGGCTTTCAAATCCCCATACTGGCATAGGAACGAAGTAAAAAAAATGTCTCGACTTTGGATGATAAGATTTCGATCTGATATGATCTTCATTTTGGAGGTTGACCTCATTCATTTTCGTGACTTGGTGCGCTGATGGTCCATTGTCCGGTGTTCTATCCATTCAGTCGTATTTTTGCAACAGCTATATCGTTGGAATATCCCTATGAGAATATGACTAGCTACTCGTATTAGTATCTAAACACATGTAGTTAGTATCGGTGAGATGTAAACGAATCGAAACGGATAAGAGAATATTTCAAACTAATATATTTTGATGATAATATTTCAACTAACACTTTGATATCCTGATATCATTCCATTCGAATAATCTTGAATCCTTCTAGGAAAATATACAGTGTGCCTGAAAAACTTGTCAATAAATTAAAAACTTTTTCATTTTTAATTTTTGGAAAAAAGGTAATTTGGAACTTTCGCAAGGTCTAAAACCAAAAATGCAAACATCAGATTTCGATTTTTGTCAGTCGTATACGAGGTATGTGAAAATAATGAATTTTGTTCAAATGTAAATAATATACCGTTTCTATTTTCGGTAATATCGAGAATTATTATCGCATAAAAAAGTCGACTATAATTGAAAACTACCTGATAACATCTATATTCACGATGAGAATCATGTATCATCATTTTTTACATTAACTTCTGATCGATTCATATGGCAAACTATTCAATTTTGAGGAAAAAAGCGAGGAAAAAAGCATCCTTCAATAGAAGTTCTTCAAAGTCTAAAATCGATAATGCAGATATCATACCTATGCTCATCAATGTTTTGAGTCATATGTCAAAAAATCACAAATTTCTGTAGATCAATCATACTCACGACTTTATTGAAATGATCTTATATTATGATCCTCAAATATGAAAAAATTCTTGGAACATATACATTTCAGGTTTTTAAGGAATGTATTCTTTCATCGTTTTTTCTTTCGTATGATTGGGAGAATACTCAATGACCGTATATAGTGTTATCTAGAACATGAAGGTTGAATGCCCAGCATTGGCCTTTTTAAAGATTGAGCAAACGAAGTTGCTGTATTTCCCGGCAACACCAAAGTCAATAAAACGATGAAGGGCCAATACTCATTTGCTTCACTGGCAAAGTGACTACAAGAATGTGAAAGGCCAACAGATTTTTGCCGCTGAAGTCATTCCCCCAGCAAAGAAAGCATTGGGCCAATAACTTCCCGGTAGTTCATTGTTTGTTGGGTGAAGGATAGGTGTCAAATACCTCCAGGTCGCTGTTTACCAAATACTGCTGACACAGTGTTGCCTCATTTTTTTGTAGGTGATTCTGCATTTCCTCTAACTGAAAATATCATGCGCCCATATCCAAATGAAAATTTAGATGAAAGAAAAAAGATATTCAATTATAGATTGTCCAGAGCACGGCGATGTATTGAAAATACTTTTGGCATACTGGCTCAAAGGTGGCGAATTTTGCGAAAGCCAATAGTTGGAGATGTGCAAACATGTGAAAACATTGCTTTGGCCACAGTTGTGCTCCACAATTTCGTACAAAGGGCAGAGGAGGACATTCCTATATCAGAGAGATTTTATTGTCCAACTGGCAATACAGAAGGGGAATCAGAAGACTTACCTGGAACACAGGGACAAGAAAAGCCTAGGAAGAAGCCTACTATGAGAAGTGTGGGTAAATTAGGATCCAACAATGCGAAAGCATCTGCTAAAGCAAACAGAGATATGTTATGTGATTATTTTAATAGTAATGAAGGAATTGTGAATTGGCAATTAGAGTCAATCATGAAGGGATCTTTACCTGATGAATTATAAATTTTAGTTCAGCTAGGTGCGAATCCATGTGTATATGATTATCATAAGTATATTTATGTTATCCTGTAAAAGTACAACAATAATTGAATAAATCGATTGCAAAAATGTATGTATAATCACTTGTTTTTGTTATTATTTTGAATAAGAGAATTGATGACAAATCCTTGTCTTATAAATAAATCACTGTGAATTAATTCAGAGGCTCATTTGCTAGGTTTTGAGATGAAAGGTGATGAAGTTGGAGGTATTGTTTTTTGAAATGACCCTGTATATTACTTTCTACGGGTTTCCAGTGATCTCAAAATTAATGTTTTGAGTGCACATTAGAACTTGGAATTGTTTTTATTTTCCATCTCAAAAGCTCAAGGGACTGGAAGGTAAGATTTTCAATGGTTCAATATAATAAAATATCGAAATAACTAGAGAACAGGTGTTCAATATCAATCACATAAATGGAATCTGCTCAAGATCATTTCAACAGCTCCACTCGCACAGATTAGAAAAGGTCCGGTCATAACAGCTCTCAAAATATATAAACATTTGCCTGACTCACTTAAAGTTCTGAAGAATCCTTTATTCAAAAGACAGTGCAAATTATTTCTCAAAAATAAAAGATACTACACTCTCACCAAATATTTTAATGATTTATTTCAATTTATCATTCCTCCTGCAGTAATTTTGTTTCATAAATAATTATTTGTAAACAGTTCTATGTTTGTTTTGTTTTTTCTCCCAGATCTTGAGGCTAGTGTCTAGTTATAATATTATTACTGTTTTTATCTTGAACTGGCAATTTCTATACTTGTTGTGCAAGTCTTATGAAAAATAAATACTTACTTAATAACAGAGTTTTTGTAAAGATAACCTGGAGAGAGTACATTGATAAGAATTTAAAATGCAATTTTGGTTCTAATTTGTATATTTAATATTATGGAATATAGTATATGAACAACTAATCATTCATCATCTTGATTGCTTGCTTCATGTAAAATTTTCAAATTTTGTTGTTTTGCATTGAATTTTATATTTTCGTCCTTAATTTCATCTAATTCAAGTCCCACCATCTTCCCAAATGTAGTGTCTGCATTGTCACTGTCCTGATTGTTGTTTTTTTGTTCAAACGCAGCATCAAATGTTCCCCAGGCTTTATTGATCGTTTCCATCAGTTCACTTGTGGAAGTCGTTCTCTTCTGCTTACTTCTTTCATTGCGCATTGTTGTCATTGATGGTGAACTAGTTTTAGTAATTTCGGGTATAGGAGAATCTGCTTCACTGTTTGAGGTCTCAAGAATTGGGTCCTCTTCTTGACTCTCCGTCTCCCCCATGATAACCTATATGGAATCCCAGGGATTCTCAGAACTTGTTTCTGATGTACTTGGACTTGGTTCTGGTGGCCCTACCGTTTGCACATTTCCTCTGGTTCTAAAAATATTACATTAGAAATAAAAATAAAACAATACAACAATGAAATCACATACTGTCTCCTCCTCATATAAGCACTCAAAAATGACATTTCTTCCAACCACCTCCATAGCTGCTGATCCTGTAGGAGTGGTTCTGATTTTTTTCGATTCCCTGGAATATATGGTCCGCAGGCTGATGCAGCGAGCTTCACACTCCGCAACTAAAATCACATATATGTTTATTTGGACAAAAAATTAGAAATCACAAATATGTTACCTGATGCATTCATAACTTCTCCAATAGGTAGTTTTCCAAGCATTGGACTTGACCTCACTATTTTTATATTCCCGGTTTCTGGGGTCATATAATACAGAAAATTGTCTTCTCAACTCGATGAGCTGGCCATCATTGAAAATTTTCTCCATATTTGAACAATTTAAAGACTTTTATTAATAACAACAACGGAAAACACAATCGAAAAAATATAAATGGACGCACGTGGAAGATAATTAAAAAAACACAATGACAAATGACACAACCAAATGACAGTGAAGGTGAAATAAAATAGAGGGAGAATAACATGAAGTTGAATAATTCTTCTGTCTTGAGTCAAGATGTAGTCTTCTTCTTGTTTGTGAGTTTTCAGCTCTTCAAGTCATTAATGAAAATCACACGCCTGCGCTGTCTGATGAATCGTAAACGTTTATCGTAATAGTTGAATTCTTGAGACTACGACTTATGACTTACGACTTGTGCATGAATATTCCGATACCAATCTGATCATTGAATTTTCTTACGACCTACGACTTCCGATTTGCGACTAAGACTTGCGATCGTAATCGCAAGTCTTATGCTGATTCCTCAGGTCCAGTAAGTAATTTTCCATCCAGAAACCAGATATATCATCAACTATGGACATAGGATTGTTTGAATAACATTCTTACATTGTAAAAATTATTTGTCCTGTTCTTCTACTGCTTTCAGATTTTTTATTGACATTCATAATTCATGTTGCAGCCTTGCTCAGATATTCAATTGAAGTATAAATATATGGCGATTGAGAAGAATATCAAAAAACAATATAGTACACATGCTTCCTCTTTAAAAGGTACTGATGGTGATGGATCATATGTTCCACCACCAACCCCAAAAAACGAAGATGAAAAATTATTGATAGAAACAATTGCCATTTCAGTAAAAGGACTCCAGAATAAATTTGATTCTAATGCACTTGCAGGTAAGCATCAACTACTTAGCTGTTATGTTGAAGTATTTTTTTTAACTTCAGGGTGCTCCGGAATGTCTGCTGCTCAACTCACTCCAATGGACCAATCCCAGAATATTGAGGTAGATATGATAGAAACAGACTGGAACGAACCACATGCTCAGTTACTACAAACTCCTAAACATCCACTTCTGAAAATTTATACTTCAAGTGATGATAAAATAGAAAAAGGAAATAAAATTCCAGAGACAGAAGAGAATCATCCAGAAGTTCTATCAGAAAATTTACCAAACCCACATTCTGAAGATTTGACAACTCAAAAAGAATTCAACTCACCCCAAACGAGTGAGTATTTTTTCATAATAAATGACTCTGACTCTGATTTTCAATCAATATAATTTTTTTTATCGCTTGGATCGCACGAAAGGGAATCCCTATAATGTTCAAAGAACATCGTGCGTTCCTAGGGAGGATAAGGATAGGAGGTAAGTATTGGAATTTTTTTTGAACTTCTGGAGATTATATGTTGCTGGGAATACTTCCTCAGGCAATGAATTCCAGAGCCTAGCCGTTCTATGGATGAAGGAGTTTTGATAAAGTGCTGTTCGACATCTTTCGAGGTTGACAACGAAAGGATGTGCTGACTGGGCTTGTCTAGTTCGTCTGACTGGTATTGCTAGTGAAGGGATGATAGCAGAGATTTCCGAAGCACATTTCCCGTGGAAGTATCGATAGAAAAGTGAAAGGTCGCCTACCTTCCTACGGTGTTCCAATGATGTCAAAGACTGAGTGAGTGTAGCGTCACCCACCAGGCGGATGGCTCTTCTCTGGATGGAATCTAAGAGCATCAGCGTATGTTTTGGTGCTGAACCCCATATGTGGGAACAGTATTCTAGAACAGGCCGTATCTGAGCTTTGTAGATCATGAGAAGCTGTTGAGGTGTAAAGTAGCTTTTCGCACGGAACAAGAATCCGAGTTTTTGTGAGGCAGCTTTTGCGATGGATCTGACATGATTATCCCATGAAAGAGTGTTGCTGATAGAAATACCGAGCATAGATATGGTGGGCTTGGTGGAGATGGTGGTGCCAGACATTACAATGTCGGGCATACTGAGTTCCGCCTTCTCTAGAGAAAATACAGGCTTGAGTTTTGGTGGCGTTGAATACGACTAGGTTGTTGGTTCCCCAGGCTGTGATTTCATTGACAGCATTGACCTGCCTGCGCCGTGAGTTCTTAGTTTCCTGGGAAGAGATGGGAATTCTGGATGAGAACGCGGTATGGAGGGTACTATCATCTGCGAAGCTGTGGATGGGGCAAGTTTGTACTCCCAACAGATCATTGATATGCAGAAGGAATAATGTTGGTGCCAAAATTGATCCTTGTGGAACGCCGGAATTGATGCCAATGGTATCAGACGATACACCGTCCACCACCACATGAAGCGATCTGCCTGAAAGAAAACTCGATAAGAGATGGCATAGCTGAGGTGGTAAGCCGTATGATGGTAGTTTGTGGAGGAGTCCTTTGTGCCAAACACGGTCAAATGCTTTCGATATGTCCAACGCGACAGCTAAAGATTCCCCGTGTTTTTCTAATGAAGCTTGCCATAAATGGGTGACGTAGGCAAGTAGATCTCCAGTAGATATTCGGTGGCGAAAGCCGTATTGTCTATCATTGATGATTCCTGAGCTCTCCAGATATTTGATGAGCTCAATGTTGATGGCTTTCTCCATCACTTTGGAGATCACTGATAACAGGGCAATGGGCCTGTAGTTGTTGGGCAGGTTCTTGTTTCCTTTTTTGGGGATTGGTTGGACTCTAGCTGTCTTCCAGCATGATGGAAAAATACCCGACCTGTACGAGACGGTAAACAACTTGCAGAGAATCGGTGTTAGTTCTGGTGCACATTTTTTGAGGATAATGGGTGGGATTCCATCAGGACCGTTAGCCTTATTCGTTTTGAGATCAAGCAAAATTCGTCTGATAGTGCGTTGACGGAAGACGATTTCGGGCATTCGACTCTCAACCACTGGAATGTCTGGCGGCACTTTTCCTTGAGAATCTAAAGTAGAGTTTGCTGCGAACATCTCTGCAAGGATATTTGCTTTCTCCTGCGATGTTGTTGCTAGTGTGCAGTCGGATTTGGACAGTGGTGGAAATGAACTATTAGTGAAATTTCTTCCGACCGCTTTAGCAAGGGACCAAAACGAACGGGAGCCATTGGGACAATCTATGAGTTTCGATCTTATCTTGGCATTGTAGAATACAATGAATTTTCAGCCACATGGCAAACCAGAAGGAGGCCAGTGATTCCCAGAAGAAAATTAGTATCTTCTGTAGCTGGCAAATTTGAAATCCTAGCTGAACTAAAATGCCAGTTGATTGAAATTGAGAAAAACATTGCCAAACAGAGAGAAACTTATTCCAAAACTGAGCAAGAAATGAAACTTAAATTACTGCAGGAACAAAATGAAGAACAAAAATTAAAGTACGGTACGGTTGAGTTGTATGGTCGCTCCGAGGAAATTCAAGTTCTTAATGTACCTACTGAAAGTCAGAAATTATCCATGAATTTTATAGTACAGTGAAATGAAAAATCTGATCTGATCAGAATCATCCATTGAGTAAATGAACTAGTAAGTTGTAAAGTGTATATTATTTATAAATTTGCTAGAAACAAATATATAAATTCAACTGAAGCGAAGCATAGCTAAAAAGTGTGCACCCACAAAAAGTACCTACAACTGATAAGTGTGAATCTATGAAACTGATAATATTTAATCAGTGCCGTACCCGATTTTATCGATAATTATTAGAATAATGGACAAAATTCGTTGTGGAAAGTGCAGTCTTCAAGTTACTGAAAAAGATTGTTTGACTTGTGACTGCTGTATTGAATGGTTATATAAAGGATGTACTAATCTATCAAGTACGGAACTAAGAGCAATTGCACTCAGAAGCAGAATTATGATTTATTTCTGTCCAGAATGTCGAATCAACTTCAAACAAATACCGAAGATCGTTAGAAGCCTTGATGAATTGATGAAAAAAATAAGTTATTATCAGATGAGAATAGTGAATTACATAAGAAAATTGAAGAATTAGCATCCCAAAATACCCTGACTGAACCAGACAATTTCAGTATTATAAATGAAATCCAAGAAAGACAAAATCGTGCATTCAATATCATCATGAATAATGTACAAGAATCAGCTCAGACTACACATATTAAACGTGCAGAGGATGACACTGCTACTGTTAACAAAATATTAGAGAATATTTCCGACGAAGTCAACATCAAAAAAACATTTCGCTTGGGGAAATTCAGTGACACCAAAAACAGGCCAATCAAAATTGTCTTATCGAGCGCAGAAGCTGCTCTAAATATCTTGAGGAATAAAAACAAGATTAACCTTAGAGGTGTATATATATATGGTGACCAAACCAAAATGCAACGGGACTACTGTGGCATATTTATATTTATATTATTAATAAAATGCCAACTGCCGTATTCTTTGCCACTGTCAGTGTACAAACACAATGTCAACACTAAATCACATGTCACTACACTCTGTCAGCATTTCATAACTAAGTGAATAAACCAGTCATCAACTAGCAGTCTTGGGTATCACTTCACCTTCACCTCCTCCTAATAATATAACATGGCGCAGTCGTGAAACCGGAAAACGTGGTGACGAACTGAGGTTAGAAAGTCATAAAAAAGTTCGCTATCTTGAAAATTTGAAATAAAATTTCAATTATAACGATTTCAATAAGTAAATACTACGAGCATCAAGGGTAAATAGCAAGAAAATGGAATTTCGAGGCAAACCACCGATGAGGATGACAAGCAACTTATCGGAAAATTGGAAATTCTGGCGTCAACGTTTCGTGATGTACCTGCAGGCAACGGAGATTTCGAAGAAAGAAGAGGCAATTCAGTGTGCACAATTACTTACCTTAATAGGAGACGAAGGAATACGGATATATAATACATTCGCCTTCGCAGCTGAGGAAGAGAACAAAATCAAGCCGCTATTAGACAGGTTTGAGAAACACTTTAGCCCAAAGAGTAATCTAACATATCAACGTCATAAATTTCTCACCTGTAAACAGAAAAGTGGTCAGTCTGTTGAGCAATATATAACAGTATTGAAAAATTTAGCCTTGGCATGTGAGTTTGGTGACCTGAGAGAATCTCTTGTGAAAGACATACTTATCTGCGGTCTTTATTCAGAGGTACTTAGAGAAAAATTGCTGCAAGAGGATCACAAAAATCTAGATGATGCTATCCGAATATGTATTAACATGGAGAAGACCAGGGAGTGTAACAAAGAAATTTCAGGTTCGAAGGACCATTCTCAAGTAGATTTTGTTAAAAGAACACATCCAGCAGATGCAAAATATCAAGACAACAGAAGTAAAATGGATAGAGGCTTGAAGATGAAATGTAGGAAATGTGGATTATGTCATGGGTATGGTAAATGTCCAGCCTTTGGTAAGAAATGTGACAACTGTGGAAACTACAGCCACTTTGCATCAGTATGCAGAAATGAAAAAGTCGGTAACTTCTCAAATTATAGTAAGGGTAAAAGTAGTTATACGAATTCAAATAAAAGAGGTAATAAATACCAGGCTAATGTTCATGTTGTAGAAAACAATATTGAAAGAGAAAATAATGAGTTTAGTCATGTATCTGATGAAAGTGATAATAATTATCTTTTCATAGGTAGCATGGAGGCAAGGAGGATTTGTGGCCTTGAGGAGGAATCATGGATGGAACCAATAGAAATTCAAGGACATAATGTCATTATGAAGCTAGACAGTGGAGCCCAAGCCAATGTCATTCCTGTAGATGTTTTACGTAAGATAAATTTTGAATTAAATAATTTGAATCAAACTAAAACTAAATTGACCTCATTTACAAAAGATTGTCTGCCTATAATAGGAGAACGCCTTTTGCACTGTAGAAATAAAAATAGAGAAGGTAATTTTTTATTTTATGTAGTCGATATGAACAGCTGTAGCATATTAGGCTTGAAAGCTTGTGTACAACTGGGTATGATAAAAAAAGTTGAGGAGATTGAACAAACAGAAAATAATGAAAATAAAATAGAAAAATTGATAACTAAATATAACCAACTATTTGAAGGAATAGGTTG